TCCGGCCCGGAGGACCATGATAATTATTATGATTTTTTTATAATTGTAATTAAGCCAGATGGAGGTGTACAAATGAAGGGAAGCTTTATCTATAACAGTGTGATAAAAAATACACAACTACTTTTTTAAAAAATTTAGAATGGCAATAAAGCAAAATACTTTTTTTTTTAAATAAACTTATTTATAAAAATATTACAATCTGTCTCTAGGACGTTTATAATAGAGTTCACAGATCACATTCACACAAAGCAAGATACCAAAGTGATGTTTCAATCATATTATCCTTTAGCCGAATAGGAAAAATTTTGTATTCTCTTTGTCACCGTTTTCGGTTATACCGGTTCTATCCGGTCCAGGAGAGAGAGCGAGGCATTAATGGCAGAGTTAAATGCTTCCTGCACCAGGACTCGAACCCGTAATCTTCAAATTAGCAGGTTGCTAGGCGATGTGTTCATTACAAACCATCTCGCTGTATATTTATATCGCATATATATATACACCCAACTAGTCCATAAAAATATCCAAAGTAAAAAATTGTATTGTTTCAATTTCACTGTACATATATATTATTTGTGTAGACTAAACAGTTTATATATATATATATGTATATATATATATATATATATATATATATATATATATATATATATATATATATATATATATATTTAAACATTGATTTAAATAAAAGTTATAATTTTCTTTTATTTATTGGAGACATAATGCACATTTATTAGAAGAATTTATTTTATGTATGTTTTCTTTCTATTTTTTTTTTTATTTCTCTATAATTATCTTTTTAGTCCCATTTCTTATTTTTTCAATATATAGTTCTAAAGAATTTATGAATAGTTAAGTTTTTTTATTTTTTTATCTCTTGTTACTTGTTATTTAATGTAAGAGTTTTTCTGGCCGAAAGTTTTTATTTTATTTTATTTTATTTTTTTAAGGAACTTAGTCCCCGAATAAAATTATTTTTCTATGTCTAATTATTCATTGACTGGACTAGCTATTAATATATCAAGACATGATATGGTTGGGCTATGTCGTTTAAAAACATATATATATTTTTTTTAAGTGCTCTTATATATTTTAAATTGTAGTATTGTGTTTATGAATGATTGCTTGTTCTAGAAATCTTGAACAAACACAATAACAGTCATATAATTGTCCCAGTGGCTTGATGAAAAGCCCGAAGTAATGCTTTGCCTCAGGTGTGTTGCATTGCTTACCTGAGCTTTAGGATCTTCATTTTCATTAACTTTGCACAAAGGAGAAACAAACACAGTCTGCTTGCCTTGCTTGGAATTGTAATTAAGGTTCTTAATGGCACTGAACTAAATTTCAAATAAGTTGATAAGCTAACTATATTTAACATATTATATTCATTATTATTTTTATATATAGGTCTCTAAATAATTATGTAAAGATATTTATTTAAATAAGATACGTAAAAGAATTAATTTATAGATTATTTGTTTATATCGTTAATTTAAATTCCTTTTTCTCTCTCATTTTTTTTTGTTTTTGTTTTTGGAGTGAATACATTATTTAACCCTGCCTCATAATTATTTTGAAAATTCTTTATTGAGATATATTAAAATCTGTCATATGTAAGGACAGAAGTAATAGTGATAAAAGAATAGCTCATTCACACTATGCGCAATGAATAAAAATAAATAAACAGCAAAATTATACTAAAAGTAAATGTCTATAAACTAAACAAAAAGAAACTAAACTAATCAAAAAACTACATAAATACACACATGCTTTTATAAAATATTTACAAAATTCATTCTTCTTACAAAGTTCTTCTCTCCCACTCGTTGAAGGAAAAGGAGACTCCAGGAGATCCCAGCGCCTCTAACTCAGCCGCATTACTGGTATTAAGGACCAATCATCAATTTTTTAAATATAATATTTTGAAAACTATTTACATATTTACTACACTAACAATATTTGTTTACTTAAATATGCAACAGCTGTAATTAAGTTATTCAATTTAGATTTTTGTGGGAAATTTTGTTTGTTTAGATATTTCCAGTAAAACTATTTAATAACTATGCCAGAAAATTTGTTGTTTTCTTTGATAAAGAACAAAATGTTTAAAAAACAAAACAAACAGCGCAATTACATTTTTTATGTAGTATATAGAAAAGGAAAAATCTTTTAATTTATAATGAGTGATATACAGCATTTTGTGTGATATTAGAATACCCTGTTAGTTTTTCAACAAATAATTATTCATATTTCAATGTTTCTGATATTTCACATCCGGCCCGGAGGACCATGATAATGATTAAATAGAGGTGTTTTGAATAATACCTCATTATTATTATTAATTAATGAATACTTTATGATATTTATTTTAACCTTTCTTGTATTGTTATTAAGTTTTGTTGCATTGTAATATGATATATATAACAATTTAATAACAGTTAAAATATTTAAATTGTAAATCCTCTCAAGTATAAAATAATTTGATATTTGCAAGGAATATTTTCTAATATGAAATACATCTCAGAGACCACAATTATTTTTTGAAGGAGGGTTTTTGAACAAACTAGAAAATTACTAGAAAAATATTAAATTTTAATCCCGCGACAAAAATGGATCTAGGAATTATAGTACCGATACTTTTTTCTAGATTAACAAAAATCAATAAATAAAATTGAGTTTATTATAAAAACATTTAATGATTTATGGATGTTTTATATTGAAAATTTACTTATGTATATGGCTCCCTCTGAGAACATATGAATTTAAAAAAAAAGAAAACAATATTAAATGTTTTTTTCTGAAACTCCTCTATTGAAATTTTACCTACAAATTTGTATTCATCGGTCCACATATCGCCGATAAAATACATCTCCGAACGATCCATCAATTTGCCCCCCGATGAAGATAACGTTTGGTTTTCATTTTTCCACCTCACGTTCTATAAGCCAAAATGTCAACAGTAAATATCTCAAAAAAAAAAAAAAAAAATAGCAATAGCGATCTATAATTCATACTCACAGTTGTATTTTGAAAAATTACTCAAAATTCAATAAGACAAGTAAGATTCATAACTATAATATGGCAACAAATATAAAACTATGACATACCAAAATTCTGCGATATAAAAAACGAGAAATTGAAAATGGACAAAACAAGCATATCTGGTAACCAATAAATATCTAGTCTTTTTGAAAATTTCAGTTTTCATTTCAGATATTTTCGCTAATGTGGGAAAAAAGCATTTTTGCGCTTTTTATTTCGAACTAAATATGGATCAACTTCTAACATCAAAGCAATATATATATCAGACTTGGGCAGAATTTAAAATACAAAATAAAATACTTTCTTTGTATTTTGCATTTTATGAATTAAAATATGAAGTAAATTGTTTATAGCTGTATTTTCTTTTTAAAACATAAAGTATTTGTATTTTCTTTCCAAAATACTAAGATTCGTGAAATATATTTTATTTTGTATTTTTTTTTTTAAACTTCTTTATTGAGATATTACAATCTGTCACATTCAAGGACAATAGTAATAGTGATATAGAGTAGCTCATCCATACCATACAGTAAATAAAAATAATAAACAGCAATATAATTTTGTATTTTAAATGTACTAAATTTCAATATATATAGTAAGTTCCCTGAATTATATGTTGATCGTCCACCAGAAAATATTTAGATTTTTATTCTGTTTTATCGTAAGATAAATATTTGAAATACGTTTCCTGAAAATAATTTAAATACTTTGTGGTTAAAATACACTGTATACATGTCATTTTAAAAAAATATATTTTGTCCATGTCTGATATATAACATATATACCTATTTTTTTTTCTTCTTGATTTTTGTAAACTAAAATTGTCTAAGGAGGATGTTTGTGCGAAAATTGTTCCAAATTTCCTCGTTAGGGCGAGTGGTGGGGGCAGATGAGGAGATCTAAAAGATAACGCTCAATCCTTACGAGCGACTCAGAACTCGGCTTCATACCAGCACAGATAGTCAGACACGGCGGCTCCGAGAGCGCCCTCAGGTAACAAAGAGATGTTTTAAGCTGACATAAAAATGGTAAGCTGTTTTTGCACAATTTGTATAACCTACCAATAAAGAAGCAGAGATTTGCCTTGCCTTAATTTGAAATTTGAAAAGGTACCTAAACAGAGGACATTATTCAAAAAATTTACTGTTAAAAAAAAAAAAAATTCTACATTTTTCCTCTGTGAACGATGAGAACGAATAAGAAAATGATATGATGAAGAAATTTATAACAAATGTAATATAACATAATAAGTACAATATTTAATAAAAATTTATATAGCATGTATAAAGATTTAAACAACCCTAATAACTGCATTTTTACTTTCTAGGATCCGTAAGAGCCACATAAATGAAATATACCGGTAAATTTAATATAGCTAAAATATTTTTTTTGTTACAACTCTAACACTGCGCTCTTATTTATCTATTTCCAGATTTGAATTCGGATGTGGTATGTAATTTTTTATTCTGTTACTCCAGGCTCTGTGCAACGAGTATTCTTAATAAATTAGTTAATGGCGAAAAATTGTCGGTTGAGCGCCATCTTGGTCAAATTATTATGTCTAAAACCAGAATCAAACCGAAAAAGTACTTTCTTACAACGTACTGAACTCAAAATACTTCTTGGATTGAATTGATCCAACTGCACTTTCCAACGGTCTACATATGGGTACGTTAATTTTCTATTTTTAAAGAAAACCTAGAGGAAGAAAAGCAATTGAGCCAATATAAGAAACTAGTAGAAACCGTTAGAGAAAAGGCGAAACGAAAAGTTTGAAACAAGTCGTTGAAGAAGATAACCTTGATTATAAGACCTACAGAGGCGGCGAGGACATTAAGAACAGCTGGTTGCACTGAAGGGCCATTACAGAGACTCTCGTAGGGCATCAATGTAAGCGCGCAATCAACAGACAAAAGCCCTTTGGAGTATTATCTTGTTGAGCGAGGTGTGGCTCTGAAATGAATATGGACGTGAGACCTTCAAGGGGCTTATCAGCTCAGCTAATTGCCCCCTCGTTCTTTGCGGGAATGCTAATACCCGAGGTAAGAAAATTGAAGAAACTTGGGGAAAACTTTTTAATTTTCTTGAAATGTTGGGATAATTAGAATAATTTCCAAAGAAGGTAAATTTATTTTTTAAATATTGAGGAACTTTTACATGTGAAATGAATTTTTTCTTCATTAATATTTTTAAAAAATACATATTTCTTTATTAAATATTTTTACATTGTGTCACATTCAAAGGCATCAATAATAGTGACATAAGAGTAGCTCATTTACAATCTATGTACAACATATAAAAGTGAACTAAATAGTAAATTAATAATACTTAAAGTAAATGTACATAAACAAAAAGAAATTAAACTAATCAAAATAACAACTTCAATAAACACATACATCTATACAATTCTACATTCATAATAACAATAAATAATACTTTTCTTCTTCAGAGTAAAGGACAATAAATATACTGCATTCATATTTTTTTTTCAATTTCTAACCACAATCTGACATTTCCGATACATCCAGCTAATTTTTTTTTCGCTTTCAAGGGCATAAATATCATAACAAACATTTTTATTAGAAATAATTTCTGAAATCAACAACACTTTTTATAATATGAAAAATTAAAACTTTAAAGAATATGACTTTTTTAATACTGAAAGCTAAAGAGAGTCCTGAAAACGGTAAATTTCGATTATAATTTAAACATTTATTCTATATAGTTATACTTGTTTATTTAAAAATATTACAATCTGTCTCAAAGAACATTTATAATAGTGTTCATAGAGCACATTCACACTCTATGTATAGCAAATAAAAACAAATTAAACGGTAAAATAATAATACTGATATTAAATGTATATAAACAAAAATAATCAATCAATAAAACTAAATTAATCAAAATAACAACTTAAATACACGCATACATTTTTACAATTCCACATTAATCATAACAATAAATAATACCTTTCTTCTACACACTTAATGGACTATAAATAAACTTTACGCATTTTTTTCAATTTCTAGCCACAGTTTAAATTTCGGATGCGTCCTAGTAATTTCTTTTCGGTCTCAAGGGCATAACTATCGTAATAAATATGTTTATTAGAAACATTTTTTTAAATCAACAATGTTTTTTTTAATATGAAAAATTAAAACTTTAAAGAATATCAGTTTATTAATACTGAAAGCTAAAGAGCACGGCAAATTCCGATTATAAGTTCAACATTTATTTTTTATAGTTGTCAAGGGAACACAGCCATGTTTCCACTTTATTTAAATTTGAATCTAGCGGGGAAGCAAGAACCACTGCTGCCATCTCTTGGCAGGCTTTAGAAGCAAACAAAGACAGTAGAGATCTGCAGAGTTCCTGCAAGAATCATGTCTACTTGAGACATAGATATAGCTGGCCAGCCATAATTTCATCTGAACAACATTTTCACGGGAGAGGAGTAGATCCTAAAGAGGCTTAGCAAAGAGAGGACAGGAAGATGAAAGGAAACGAAAAGAAGAATACAGCAAGTACATAAATAATTTATTTTCATCCACCATCCATATAATCCACAGTTAAAATATTTGTAACAGTCGTACCAAATTCATTAATCTACTAACAATTCATTGTAAAAGATCCGAATTTAATATATCAAATTATAAGAGAAATAAAATATAGCAATCAAATTCCTTATACACAGTAGACTTATAAGTAACGTATAAATGGCGGTTCTGTTGCCACAATTTGGACGGCACTTTTGGACTTTGGATCCTAGGCTATTCTTACCTCAACCACTTGTACACCACCTGACCAATACAATTTATGTTTTATTAATCTAAATCCTAATTTGTATTTATTCATTTTCAAGTTCGACAGGTCTGAACCTGTCGCAACTGGTCCCATCTTGTCTATCTCAAAAATAAATTATATTGGTCACGTGGTGTACAGGTGGTTAAGGTAAGAATAGCCTAGGGTCCAAAGTCCAAAAGTGTCCCCCAAATTCTGGTCCCAAAACCGCCATTTATACCCTACTTTTATATACAGTCCAGAACATTCAAATAAATGCACCAGCTACAAAAGCATAATTATTGTGTCAATATCCTTGACAGCCTTGGAAGGGATTGGAAAAATAAATGACACAATAGTTATACTTGTTTATTTATAAATATTACTATCTGTCTCAAAGAACATTTATAATAGTGTTCATAGAGCACATTCGCAATTTATGTACAGTAAATAAAAATAAATTAAACAGCAAAATAATATAACTATAACTAAATGTATACAAACAAAAAATAAAAATTAAACTTATCAAAATAACAACTTCTTTGTTTAATAACAATTTACTGTGTCAATGTTTTTTTTTTGGCACGAACATTGATCGTACATTGAATAAAAAATTAAGATTTTTTTTTTACATGACGGTATAATTTTATATATAACTGTTTTAAGTACATCTTCTGTGCTTAGCTGAACAGGCGTAGACAGCCCGTAAGTTCTTCAACTTCTTCTTTACACTTTTCTCTATCCATTAGTTGGATTTTTTTCATCTTCAACTGCCATATGTCATGGAGTACGCTATCTCTCCAGCGGTTCTTGAGTTTCGCTCCACATTTCTTTCCATCGGGTGTACCCTCAAAGTCTTTTTGGCATCCTGAGAAACATATAAAAAATAAACTATTAAATATTTAATAGTTGACTGTTGCATTATAACTGAAGGAGGTGGTTCGGGGTGGCGGTCATAATTAGGCTAAATAGGGACAAAACTATTTTATTAAAACCCAACGTTTCGACCCGACTTTGCAGGTCTTCTTCAGGCCTATACCGAGATACAAAAATATATAGAGAATTGTGAGAGTTACATAATATTTAGACAAAAAATTATAAACAATGTGAATAACCTTATTAAAATTATAGCTTTTTTCTTTTCTTTCTCCACATTCCTTTATGTCTATTATTCCATATTATATCCTTTTTCCTTTTCTTTCAATCTCTCCTGTAGATCTGTAGAAGTATATTCACATTTGCATATATTATATATTACACTACAACAATTGTTGCCATATATTTACTTCAGTTTAGGATCTTGTTACTTAGCTTACTCTGTTTATATTTTAATGTACTCACTGTTTTTAATTTTAATAAGCCTATTCACATTGTTTATAATTTTTTGTCTAAATTTTATGTAACTTCCACAATTCGCTATATCTTTTTGTATCTTGTCCGTTCTAGCCCTGAAGAAGACCCGCAAAGTCGGGTCGAAACGTTGGCTTTTAATAAAATAGTTTTGCCACTATTTAGCCTATTTACGACCGCCATCCCGGACCATCTCCTTCCTTCATAAAAAATAAACATGAAAAAATTAATTTGACACATGAAAAATATTAAGTTTTTCAACCATGATACCTTCATAATATACGGCGTACAAAAATAATTCTATTTTAAGAAATAACGATCCTAAGTTTTGTAAAATCACTGTTAATTTCATATCATATAATATATTTATATATAATAAAAAAAAATAAAAAATGATGTTTTCACATGCTTCGAGACGTACCTAGTATAGTATGATATTATGATTGAACTTGTAAACCAGAAAAATAAAACTAATACTTTTAGGTTCAGTGCCATTTTTTAAAATAAAATATTAGGCTAAAGGTCACCAAACGTACACAGTTTTTACATCATGTATTATTTATTCGACGTTTCGGCTTCAGGAGCCATTTTCAAGGTCCTGCAAACATGCACCGCTTCATAAAATTTCCTAAAATTTATCATTATAATATAATTCGTCTTTTTGCCATTATTTTATTTCATCGAATGTCGTTTATTCACTTCTCTATCGTATACGATATTAAAAGTGTTCCTCCTCACTAATGCGGTCATACAGGACTCTTGTTCTTGAAAATGGCTCCTGAAGCCGAAACGTCGAATAAAAAATACATGATGTAAAAACTGTGTAAATGTGGTGACCTTTGGCCTAATATTTTATAAGAAACTAATACATTGTACAAACGAATTTGATAAATATAATAAACGTTATATTTATATATTGTCATAAAAATTAGTTTTTCTCAAACTTATGTTTACTAGACTTTTTGAGGTTGAGCTATGTGCAATAAATTACAAGATTATAAGCAAAACAAAAAGGAATTTTTTTTTCTACCTCTTGTAAATCGAGAATTCAATCAAGCGATGTTAGAATTTATATGATGATATAAGATCCAAACCGCAAGGGATATTTTCGTTAACATAAATATATAAAATAAAAAAAAAAATCGAACATTCAATAAAATTGAGTTCTGAAAGGCTGAATAGCTTTTCTATTTTTCAGGAGACATATTTACTGCGGTCCAATATAGAGCATCCTCTCATATATTTTCCTTACTAAAACCTTCCACGAAATCGGAACATTTTTAAATAACTTTTAGTTGGTTTTTTTTTCCAGGAAAATATTGAAGATATATATCATTCATAACAAATGGTTACTTAAAGTATACTTTCATTTTATTGCTATTTTCTAGAGTTATTAAATGCATGAAAGTAATACAATTTATATTAATCTATATATCGATGGCTTAATACTAAGTGATTGATGTCCAGAAAAAAACAAAAACAATTTCACAAAAATAAAATTTTCAATAATTATTTTTTACTTGTTTTATTTTTATTTTTTAAATGGGGTAGCTCAATGGTAGGATACTGAGCTTCCAATGCAAAGGTCCCGGGTTCGAACCCCGGCTCATAGCAGAAAATTTATTTATCTGTTTCATTGGCCGTGGGGCGACCCTGGGTCGGGAGACCCTCCTGGGGCACACCCAGACTCTATAAAGTGGGTACCCTTAATTAAATAATTAATTAAGGAGGAAAACCTAGTGGTTGAGCGTGATCTTGGTCAAATCATCTCCTTGCACAACCGTAGACCAAGAAACAGTGATTTTCATAAATATTACTAAATCCAAGACCCTTCATGGGTTGTAGTGGTACAGGTTTTCTTTTATTTTTAAAAATGCTCTGATATTTTAAAAAATATAACGCTGTACGTTAC